TTGTATTCCACTGGGGATACTGACAAAACCTGCATTGTTGGTGTACCATAGGTTTGTGTTGGGAATCATTGATCTATACAATATAAAAACCCCATAATTAGTGATGTCCCGAACGGTTCGCCGAACGGTTCGCCATGGATGGCGAACATAAACATAAACTTTGACCCTGTACCTCACAGTCAGCAGACACATTCCAGCCAATCAGCAGCAGACCCTCCCTCCCAGACCCTCCCACCTCCTGGACAGCTCACTAAGAATGCAGCTTCACAATGAATGTAAAATGGATGCTGTCCAGGAGGTGGGATGGTCTGGGTGGGAGGGTCTGCTTCTGATTGGCTGGAATGTGTCTGCTGACTGTGAGGTACAGGGTCAAAGTTTATGTTTATGCTCGCCGTCCGTGGCGAACCGTTCGGGACATCACTACCCATAATATTAAATTTAAGGTTTCATTGGCTGTAAGTATGCATAAATTAGTGACTGAATTGGCATAGTTGATGCTATCTCTCCAGGCAGAGAAACACCATTATTAAAATCCATTATTAAAAACTAATCATCTCAGGCTATATTACAATTACCATTTTGACTAGGATTACTAGAGGAAAATAATAAGAAAACCATGAGAGTAAAATATTAAATGACATTATAAAAAAACAAGAAAATGTGTGATTTTATTGAAGGTTTTTGAAGTTATCTTACGTACACCACAAAAGCAATTTAGAATTACACGAATCACATCCTTAGGTTCACAGTAACAGATACATCAAGTAGCTAAATGTAGCACAAGGGTTATGAGTTAAGTCTGGATTAAAGGGAACCTATAGCCCCCCAAAAAATATTGTTAGTTCGGTACTATAGGTTCCCTTCTGTCCACCCCCACCCCTACCTTCTGTCCACCACCTTCACACCAGCTACAAATAAAAGTTTAAAAGAGATTACTCATCTCCTTTTCAGAGCCTGGCTTCCTCTATTGCAGCCTCCAGCCCTGCATCCAAGGTGACATCACCCGTGAAATCCTAAATTCAGTCAATTGCTTCTACCATATAAGCAATGGATTTGAGATGTATATGTGCGTCCAAACGCTGTCCTCTAGCAGCATTTTTTTTTTTTTTTTATATCAGATAGGTATCGTCTTGAATTTTGTCTGTGGACCATACCACTCCCTGGGTTGGTATAGATACCATTATCATTTATTTCTTTATTTCCCCCCTTTTTTTCCCCTTTAATGTGCAAATTATGTCTCCTTATTCATAATCCTTCACATTACGCAAACCTATTTCTTCTAAATTTTCATATATCTCTACTTTTATTGTTCGATACCCTCAAAAAAAAATATTCTATCCCTTCCCCCCTCCCTCTATCCCACCGTCCTGTGATCCCCCTTCCCCAGTTACACTATTTGCTCCTTTATTCTGGAGAGAGAGGAAGTCTGCTTATCTTTTATATCTTTATTTAGAAAGAAAAAAACAACTGCGAAAGAAGGGAAGAACAGAGAAGAAAGTCCAGGATTTAAAGCAAGTCTCAGATATCTATTTTATATTGCTAGGTTTGAGCTGTATTTTATTGTGGGGTACGGGTGCTCTCCTCTTTTTCTATTTCTAAATGCAAAATCCAGAGCGGGGGAGAGGGAGAATTGAGTCAGCGCATCCCTTTCTCCCCTTATTGCTTCCCACAGTATTTTTTGTTTCCCGATATATATATATATATATATATATATATATAATTTTTTATTTTTTTATTATTATTATTATTATTATTTATATTATATTTTGGAGGCCCACTGGACTATTTTTTTTTTTCCGCGTCTGTTTCCAATATTACTAACCAGCTGTTTAAGAGTTCTATTTCATTGATTCTTTTGTATTTGGTCATCAATATGCCCTTTTCCATTTTTATTTGCCATACAACTTGCGCAATAATCTTCTGGATCTTGGGAATATTAGTTGTTTTCCAGTTACGTGCAATAAACAACTTGGCCGCTGTTATAATATGTAAGATTATTATTAAGGCTTTCTTTTCTAATTTTGTCCAATTCAAGTTTAAAAGGATTAATTCTGGTTCACATTTGAATTTAATTTTTGTAACATAGTAGATTAATCTTATTATTCCTTTCCAATAATTGGCAATCATTCCGCACTGCCACCATATGTGGTTTTAACTTCCAGTGCCCCTATTACATCTCCAACAATTTATAGAAATATCCGGAGAAATCTTTGAAAGTACCTTCTGTGTAAGATACCACCTATTCGACAATTTAAAATGAACATCTGTCAAATTTAAGCAATGGATGTGCTCGTATAGTTTTTTAAGCGAGTTTTCTCCGTGGGTTATGGGCACTGGGCATGGCACATTTGTTTGTTTTTTAAGCAAGTTTGTTTGATGAGCATGTTGCTATAATCTTTTTTTATTATTCTTTGCTCCTACGTCTATCTAGCTATTTTGAAGGGCGAGAGGCTTTTTAACTTAATTCCTGCCAGTTCCTTTTGTCTGGCATTAGACCTACTATTATAATTTTTCCTCTCATCCTCATACTTTGCTAGCATTTGTCTCCCAGGTATATATTAAGGTTATAGGTTCATATACTCCTATCCTCTATCTAGGTTATGTGGTATCTTACTTCTACCATACATTAATATGTCTCTAGATACTTAGGAAAAATTTTATCTTGTTTGAACGACATCTATTATGGTTTTTCTTTAGGGATAAGCAGTTTCTACTGTGCCCTTTTGGACAGTGCAGGCTATTATAATTTGTTCCTAATACCTATTAACCATACAGGTTATGTTTTTTACCGGGATATACCTTTTCTTTATTTAGCAGACTCTATACAGTATATGGTCTAGCAGAGTTCTCACACTGAGAGCCAACTTAAAGGAACACTATAGTCACCTAAATTACTTTAGCTAAATAAAGCAGTTTTAGTGTATAGATCATTCCCCTGCAATTTCACTCCTCAATTCACTGTCATTTAGGAGTTAAATCACTTTGTTTCTGTTTATGCAGCCCTAGCCACACCTCCCCTGGCTATGATTGACAGAGCCTGCATGAAAAAAAAAAACTGGTTTCACTTTCAAACAGATGTAATTTACCTTAAATAATTGTATCTCAATCTCTAAATTGAACTTTAATCACATACAGGAGGCTCTTGCAGGGTCTAGCAAGCTATTAACATAGCAGGGGATAAGAAAATCTTAATTAAACAGAACTTGCAATAAAGAAAGCCTAAATAGGGCTCTCTTTACAGGAAGTGTTTATGGAAGGCTGTGCAAGTCACATGCAGGGAGGTGTGACTAGGGTTCATAAACAAAGGGATTTAACTCCTAAATGGCAGAGGATTGAGCAGTGAGGCTGCAGGGGCATGTTCGATACACCAAAACTGC